TGAGTGGCCGACCTTGTTTAGGAGGCATCAAGACTGGAGGGTGAACCAATGCCTGCTTGATAGCATCTAAAGCCATCTGTTGATCGGGACCCCATTCGAAAGCATTTTTTCCAGCGTTCAACAATTTAGTGATGGGTCTGACCTTGCCAGCAGCATTAGAAATGAAACGCCTCAAATAATTCACCTTACCCAAAAGACTTTGGATTTCTTTAATCGTCCTGGGTGGCCGACTATCAAGAATGGCTTTAGCCTTATTGGCATCAATTTCAATTCCTCTCTCATGAACTAAGAATCCTAGAAAGCTCCCGGCTGATATTCCAAAAGCACATTTGGTTGGATTCATCTTCAACTTGTACTTCTTCATTCTTTCAAATGCCTCTTCAAGATCTCTCAAATGTTCGTCAAAACTGGCAGATTTAACTATAACATCATCAATATACACTTCCATAGATCTGCCAATTAAATCATGAAAGATTTGAATTCATGGCTCTTTGGTAAGTTGCCCCCGCATTCTTTAACCCGAATGGCATGACTGTCCATTCATAAATACCCAAAGCCCCTGGGCATCTGAATGCTGTCTTAGGAATGTCTTCTTCTGCCAAGAATATTTGGTTATAACCTGCATAACCATCCATCAAACTAAGGATTTTATGCCCTGCTGCTGCATCTATCAGCATGTCGGCCATAGGCATCACATATTCGTCCTTAGGGGTAGCTAGATTCAAATCCCTGAAGTCGATGCATATCCTTATCTTACCATTTTTCTTGACCACTGGCACAATATTAGCCAGCCACTCCGCATAACGGCAAGGTTGAATGAAACCCACTTTGAGAAGTTTTTGGATTTCTTCCTTGATTTGAGGCATCAGATCTGGACTCATTCGCCTTGGAGGTTGTTTGTAAGGTTTACAACCTTCTTTGATGGGCAATCGATGCTCTATTAGACTTCTTGTCAAACCAGGCATCTCTGAATAATCCCACGCTAAACAATCAATGTTGTTTCTAATAACTTCAAGCATCATTGTTTGTTGCTCTTTAGACAAATAACCACTTAACCTGATCACTTTTGGAACCAATTCGGTTCCTAAATTAAACTCCAATAACGGGTCTTGTGATGAAGCTGTTGGTTCTGTTTTTTCTAATAAGTCGGGCCAACGAAATTGTTCATCTTCTTGGAGGTGAACATCCAGAATCTCTTTATTATTTTCTACTTTATGTAATAACTGCTTTAAATAGAACTTATTAATAAGAGAACTACATACTTCAAAGCTTGTATCATCCATGACAAACAAATTATATGGAAATGGGTGTGGCTTTATCATGAGCCATACAATAAAGGTGTTCTCTTAATAGAACATTGAGTTCTGGCCAGTGACTTTATAACCCTTGAGTGGGTATTCCCTGGCCATATACAACTGAGACATCGGAGCCAAATGACTGGAATAAAACACTGACTCTTCAACTTGTTCTGATACATCGAATGGGTTGTCATTCGCTTCCATTTTGAAGACCTGATTTCCTTCCCAGAACATTAATTGTTGGTGCAGGGTTGAAGGCACACATTGAGAGGCATGAATCCAGTCTCTTCCCAGCAAGAGAGAGTATGTAGTATCTGCGTCCACAATAAAGAAAACAGTGGAAATCTTCTTTGGTCCGACTTCAATGGTGGCAACCATCATCCCTTCAGGCTTAGTCGGCTGCCCTGTAAAACTTGTCATTTCGAATTCCACAGGAGACAGATCATGAATTCCTTTCCCTAGCTTCTTAAGAGTCTTCAATGGCATAACATTAAAGACTGCTCCATTATCCACGAAAACCTTTGTGATTGGTTTCCCACAAATGTGAGCATTAACATACAGAGGTTTCAAATGGGAGATCGCACCCTCTGGAATAGGAGGAAACACAATCGAAGGTGGCTCCGGCTGAGGCTCAGAATCTGAAGTCTTTGCCCACTCTGTTTCCTCTAATTCATCATCTGCCAAGAATGCCCATAATGGTTCGTCCATAGTATCATCTACCAGACTCGCCCATATCGGTTCATCTCTCATCTGATTAATCTCTGTCATTCGACAAGGGATTCTTGGTCCCAGACGAGATTTAACAGATCTCGAACTTTCCTCTGTAGTTAGAACTTCTTCCTTCGTCTTGTTCTGAGGTTGAAGCGTCAAAGATTCTATACGGAAATCTTCAAGAGATGGATTGATGTTGATTCGTTCACAATGTTGGCATCTAAAACCTTTAATTATTTCATCTGCCACACCTTTACCTTTCCCCAGTCCCGATGAACTTCTTTTGGTATGGTCGGAAGCGCCTAATCCGTCATTCGGTTGCTTTCCTGACCAGACCCGACTGGACCGACCAACTGGAGACTGAATGGTTACTCCCTGCTCGTTGGTCGTTTGTTCTGTAAAGATCCGAATGGACTGATCTCCTGCCAAGTGGTCGGCTGCTTTTTGTTCGTCGGTTAGTTGTTTTGCTGAAGGACCTCTTTTCCCATACTTTGCAGCATACCTGCGTTTGGCATTGCGAATCTGTGTACGATTCATACCCGGGAAACGAGGGTCTATATCAACTGGTAAAGGCTTTTTATTTCGAGCCCAATTGCTCCCGACCGACCCTGTTTTTCTGGTCGGGTGATCACGTATCAAAACCTTTTCTTTCACCTCCACATTAAAAGAACCATCTGGATGGTCCCACTTTTCAGCAACTGGCTTCTCACAAATTTTGAGTCGTTCTTCCGGTCGGCTGCTGTTTGGCCGACTTCCTTTTTTTGTTTCGGGGCTTGGCTGGTTTCGTTCCCCTTTTTGTCCATCGTTGGCCGAACTTTTCCTTGTTTCCGAACTTGGTTGGATGTCAACCATTGCCGTTGTTACATTCGGAAACGGTTGCTGGTCTACACCTAGAGTGATGTATTTGAGCCGACCTGTCTTGATGGCCTTTTGAATTTCCTTCCTAAAATGAGTACACTGACTTGTAGTGTGTGTGAAAGAATTATGCCACTTACAATATGGTCTCCCTTTGATTTCTTCTTTAGTGGCAAGTCTTTGGCCCTTTGGAATACGGATCTGCCCATCAGTCAGTAGGATATCAAAGATTTCATCAGCTTTCGAACTATCAAAGGTCGGTTGCTCCTTTCCTTCAGATCCTGGTACTGGCTTCAATTTAGGACATACATACGGTTTTCCAGAAAGGATTTCGGCTGCCATCTCTTCTGACTGATTAAAATCAAAGTCGCATGTTTCTGTTCCCATACTCGCCATATGTTGGCCTCTATTACGCCTGTTATGCTGATCTTCCTCTCTGAACAAAGACTCTAGACGTCCTGCCTTGGATGCAAGACTTGCCAAATCCTCAACATCCAGGGCAGTGAGTGCCTTTCTTAAACGATTATGCATATTCCGGACCACTAAATTGGTCATCTCTTTCTCACTGATTACCGTAGGACATCGTCCCTTCATCAATCGCACCCTTTCTATAAACTGTGAAGCAGTTTCTTCTGGATACTGTCTCAATTCAAGTAAATCAGTCAAAGAAACAACTGGTAAAGGATTAAAGAATCTCGCGTGAAATGCCATCTCCAGTCCTTCCCATGTCTGAATTTGTCCTGGAGGCAAACTTACAAACCACGAAAACGCCGTTCTAGTAAGAGATAAACCAAACAGCTGTAACTTATAAAAAGGGTTATTGCCAACTTCTCCTAATTGTGCTGTGAACCGACCAACATGTTCTATGGTGGAAGATCCGTCCTCCCCTGAGAATGCATGAAAGTCGGGTGGTCGAAAATTCCTTGGGAGAGGGTGTTCATTAATGATCCTTTCTGGGAAAGGTCTCTGATATGCAGGGCGGTTAGCCATCTGAGGAGTTAATCCATACTGATCCCTTAATATATGTGCAATCTCGTCAGGATCTACATGAAAGCGTTGATGATCAGGAACTTGGAACGGATCCTGCACAGGAATATGAATAGGATCATGTATATATCCTTCAGGCCTGTCCTCCCTTGTATTGCTCGGCTGCGGATTGGTAACCCTTGGTCCCAGTGGAACATTGTTGGGAAAAGTCAAAGGAGATTTTCCCCTATCCATTCGGTTGGGATTTGTGGCACTTGGGAATGTACTATCCACGAATGATGGCCCTGCGAAATTTGCCTGTGGTCTGGACGGTGACACTCCTGGTGGCGTTTGAGTGGGTTGAAGACTAACCCTTGACAGTGCTTGATCTATCATGTTCTGCAACTGACTCTGTTGCTCACGCAACATGTTCGTTTGTTGCTCACGCAACATATTCTGCATAACCAAGGTATGCTGGTTGTTCATTTGTTGAACATAAGACCACCAATCAGTTGGTGGTTGTGGGATTTCCCCGGCATTTGGCACAATGGGTGGTGGAACGGATTCTCCCACCGGTGTCGAAGATGATTGCGGTTGTGAACCTGCCATAACCCTTCCGATGATTCGGCCGGATCTAAGACGTATGAAATTATCGCCGGAATTGGAATGAGCAATTTTGTCTTGCTCCCACTGTGGTCGCCAATTTGTTGATGTAATTTTTCAACAAAAATAAAGTAAAATTCAAAGATATAGAAAATATCCTTAAACTTGATTAATTAGTGTCTGAGATTAGGAATCTCTAAACACTGTATGGTACAGAAAATAAACTGGAAAATAAAAGACTGAAATTTAAAGTGGTGATCCCCAAATCTGACTTTGCTTTGTTGAAGTTGATTGAAGATGCCTTGCCAAATGATGATCCAAATCCTTAAATATTCCCTGGGAAACCGTACTGAAAACCGTCACCCGAACGGTTTCAATGTCTCCTTCTCAACCGTCTTCCAACCTTTCTCATGCTGACACGTGTCCCCAGCAGACCAAAATTCCCTATATTTCACTCCTTGAGCCGACCACAGACCTTCCGCTCTTTTGGCCCGACTTCGTCCTTCGTCCGACCCCACTTGGGCCGACCTCCATATCAACCGCCCCCTGTCTTTTATCAAAGGCCTCCGCGTTTGTCCGACTCCTCCTTCTATCCGACCTACAGTTTACCCGACCTGCGGATATCCCATCTCGACGACTTTCCGTCTCGAGGACCTCCCGACTTGAAAACCTTCCGACTCATCGTCTTTCCGTCTTGCGGACCTCCCGACCTGAAGACCTTCCGACTTGAGGTCTTTCCGTCTTGCGGACCTCCCGACCTGAAGACCTTCCGACTTGAGGTCTTTCTATCTTGCGGACCTCCCGACCTGAAGACCTTCCGACTTGAGGTCTTTCCGTCTTGCGGACCTCCCGACCTGAAGACCTTCCGACTTGAGGTCTTTCCGTCTTGCGGACCTTCCGACCTGAAGACCTTCCGACTTGAGGTCTTTTCATCTTGAGGGCCTCCCGACCTGAAGACCTTCCGACCTGAGGTCTTTCCGTCCTGAGGACCTACCGACCTAAGAACCTTCCGTCCTGAGGTCTTTCCGTCCTGAGGACCTACCGACCTAAGAACCTTCCGTCCTGAGGTCTTTCCGTCCTGAGGACCTACCGACTTGAAAACCTTCCGACCTGTATTTTCCTTAGAAATAAATAAATAAATTTATTTTCCTTGATTTCCTCACGGTGTCCTTCAGCCAGTTCAATCAACCCTATTGCCAGGCCCATTCTTCTTTTTACCTTGGGCTTTTAACCTAATTCTAAATTTCGTACGTAACACTACCTAATATAATAAATATATCCTTTCAACTTACATTATATTACACAAATGACATTACTTTTATATTATACAATATTAATAGGAGTATTTTCGTCTTTTTCATTACAAACCATTATAATACTAATATTAACAAATTTACATACAAAAAGTAAACGACAATCTTGCACCGGGACGGAGGGAATATATATTTTTAATTATTTGTTAATTATACCATTGCCTAAATTCACGTATTTATAGAAAACCAAACAATTAAAATGAGATAAAAGAGAGTATTATTTATTGACCAATTTCCAATCAACCTTATGATTAAAAGTTTAAAATGCATAACTAAACTTGTAAAATTTAAGCGTCGTGTATTTGTTTTGTATTTTGGTTTAAATTTTTCTTTTTTTTTTTTTAATATGGGATATAAGAAATTATGCAAATAATATAAAAATAATAACAATATGTACTATATTAATTTATTTTTTTAAAAAAAAATATGTTAGATTTGTTTTGAGTAAAAGAATATATACTGTTAATGCTTTGTTCTTCTGCATTTTTTAATGTTTGTATGCTAATAAAATAAATACTAAATTGCATAATATATCATTGTATTTTAGTATAAATGCATAAAATATTTTGTTATAAATATGCACTTAATTATGCAAATTTTATACAAATAAAAAAAAATAAAACATCTTAAATAGTCTTATTTGAATAAAACTAATAATTTATCAACCACCAATATATAAAAATTATACTCCCATCATCCCATATACGAAAGTATGCATTTGAGTTTTTATATTGATTGAGAAATAATACCGCTCCTCCCGTCTATCTCTAAATGTCACATTTACCTTTTGCGTAATTGTACTTAACATTAAAAATATTCTTATATTTATATAATTTTTATTTTGTACAAATGTCATTCTATTAGTATTATAAGACACTAATGAAAGTATTTTTGCAATTTCTTCTTAATTTGTACTATGTTTTGATATAATAATTAATATTTAAAGAGCAACACAAAAAAAGTAAATGAGACCCTTAGAGCCGAACAAATGTAGTATTATTTTATTGATAATTTCTACGAAATCTTGACATTTTTGTCCTAAACACGTCTGTACTTTATATATATATATATATGTAATTATGTTTTTAATTTATACAAAAATTAATATTTTATCCTTCATAATTTAAATATCATTTTTACTATTTTCATATGTTCCACTCAAAAGTACATATTTTTATTTTTAGTAAAAATAATTATACACTAATACCAAAATACCCGTAACTTTTATCTAAATTACAAACATAGCATTACACATACAATTACTTTATACAGTCAAAAGCAAACATGTTAAAATCTCTTACATACTTTTAATAATCAATAAAATACTATTATTTCTTAATTTACTATAAAACCCGTTTGTTTAGTTCAAATGAGGGAAGGGGAGTGGAGGGATTTTAATGGAAGGGATGGGAGGAGAAGTGAGGGGAAATAATACTATTAAAATTGTAATAGTGCGCGTTTGGTTCATAGAAGGAAATGGAGGCGAGACGAGGGAAAATACTATTCTTGTGTTTGGTTAAACAGCGGAGGAAAGAGAAAATATAATAATTTTACTATTTTGTCCCTATATTATTTAAATAAAGAATATTTAATAAAATTCGATTAATTTATTCATAAAATATGATACAAAATTTATTTGTCCAATATAATAAAAACAAAAGTTACATTATTAGGTATTAGAGGAACCAAATACTATATACATTATATATTTATTAAACTTACCAATAAAGATAGACAATATTTTACGTATAAATAATAACAATGTAACCAAAATTATATAAACTAAGTATACTATAAAAATATTACAAAATATACTTAAACTGGGTTACTTTGATTCATTTTAATCATAAAGTAAATATTTATTGAAATCAAAATACATATAAATAATAACTTTCCGTCTTGAGGACTTCCCGACCTAAGGACTTCCGTCCTGACCATTTCCCGTCTTGAGGACGTCCCGACCTGACCACTTCCCGTCTTGAGGACTTCGGGACCTGACCACTTTCCGTCTTGAGGACTTCCCGACCTGACCACTTTCCGTCTTGAGGACTTCCCGACCAGATGACGTCCCGACCTGAGGATTTCCGGACCTGACCACTTTCCGTCTTGAGGACTTCCCGACCTGAGGACTTCCCGTCCTGACCACTTTCCGTCTTGAGGACGTCCCGACCTGACAACTTTCCGTCTTGAGGAAATCCCGACCTGAGGACTTCCCGACCTGACCACTTTCCGTCTTGAGGACCTCCCTACCTGAGGACTTCCCGACCTAAGGACTTCCCGTCCTGACCACTTTCCGTCTTGAGGACCTCCCTACCTGAGGAGTTCCCGACCTAAGGACTTCCCGTCCTGACCACTTTCCGTCTTGAGGACCTCCCGACCTGGCCACTTTCCGTCTTGAGGACCTCCCGACCTGAGGACATCCCGACCTGAGCGCAAATTTTTCTACTTTTCTGCCCGACTTCGGGTCCTACCTTCGTTCAAGACCCTGCTATCATTATTTTTATTATTATTATTATTTTTTGTGCGTAACAATTATCAAAGTTGAAATATCCTTGTTATTTTTTACATTTCAAAACCTCATAAAGAGATGCAGGGTCACCCTTCTTATCTCAAACATTTCATCTACATTCTCCTCTATTTTATTTTTTATTGGTGTTGATGCAATTTTTCAACAATAAAAAGTAAAATCTGAAAATAAAGTGTTGATGTATTTTTTCGACAGACAAAAAGTAAAATTCAAAGATATGGAAAATATCCTTAAATTTGATTATTTAGCGCATGAGATTAGGAATCTCTAATTCCTCCTTTATTGACACGTGCCTTGCACCGTCGCGCCAGATGCTTCCATCAGTTCCCGAACTCAACTTGCCCGACCGACCATTCCAGAGACCAATTGCTAGACCAGCCGACCTTCTTTATCCGACCTGCTGACCATCAAACCTGTATGTCCTACCTGCTGACATTCAGACCTGCAGACTTCCCGACCTGATCACTTTTCGTCTTGACGACCTCCCTACCTGAGGACTTCCCGTCCTGACCACTTTCCGTCTTGAGGACGTCCCGACCTGAGGACTTCCCGACCTGACCACTTTCCGTCTTGAGGACTTCCCGACCTGAGCGCAAATGTTTCTACTTTTCTGCCCGACTTCAGGTCCTACCTTCGTTCAAGACCCTGCTACCATTATTTTTATTATTATTATTATTTTTGTACGTAACACCTTAAATTTTATTTTTTAGCGTCTGAAAAGTCTATCCTGTCCTTCATTTCCAAAATAACAATTTCCCCTGGAACTGTGGTCGCCTCTGCATTTTTTGGTCGCCTCCCAATTTCTCCTAACCCTTATAGGTCTATTGGCTATGCCTTAGCCAGATTAACCCCGAACTCTTCCTGTCTAAAATCCTCCGACTCTATAATAACCCAAATTTTGACCGAAGATCGGAACAATTCCCGTTTTTTTGTATATACAACCTTAATACAATATTCGACCGATCTTTTCTTCCTTTATCCCGACCCTACCTATCCTTTAACTCGGCCAGATCCTCTCCCTCACCCGACCTTTATTTTTTCCTGGGACGCCGCAATAAAACCCCGATCTTTGTTTTCTAGCAGAAGGTCGGATAAGAAGAATCGTAGAACACTTTTCACTTACAATTACCAACCTCAATTTTTGTCGAGGCAATTTGGTTGCTGCCAGGGCATACCAGGGCCATTAGCCAGTCCTCACCTCATATTTCAAAGCCCCGAGGGTCTGGTGATTCCCGAACTCATCCCGACCTATATTTCTCAACTCACCACCTACATCACCTCGAATTCATATCTCCCGTTCTGCCCAAAATCTTCGACAACCGAAGATTTCCCTTCCTGGTGGTCGACCACCTGGTCTTTACTTGCCCCTTCGACTGACCAATTGGTCGGGAGACTTGCTCCACCCCCAGCTCTGGCTCTTGGCTCCGCCCGACTGGCAGTCAAAGGAAGGAAAAGGCCAGCCCCTACGGCAGGTGGGTCGGGAGCAAAAAGACAAAAAGCAAAGGCCACTCCTGCTATCGATAGAGGCAGGCCATCGAGGAATATCTGGCTTCTCTGCCAATAGATACTAGCGGGATGCCAAAGTATCTAAGGCAACAATTTGGTAAGTTTTTGTTCCTTTCCTTATGTTATTTTCATGCTGCCCGTTTGTAACTCTAATATGTCTATTTCAGAAGATCCTTCAATGCTCCTGACCACTGGCCCTACCACGTCTCAACCGACCCACCAACAATCGCCCGAACCACAAGTTCCCATCAATTTATCTTCATCCCGATCGACAGCCGTCCCGATCATAGAACAATCATCTATGGTCCGGACCACCGATCGACTGGCCATAGTCCCGATTACCACACAACCGACCCACTGACAATCAGAGGTGAAAGATAGTTTCTGACATTCCTTAGAGACCAACAAAACAAAATATATTAATTTTAAACAACAACTTCGAACCTTTTATTGTAGGCACACCGACCAGGCGAATCGATGGGCAGGGTACCTCCTCCCCCAACGTCGGATATCGTTGCGGTGATGCCCGACCAACTTGTTGTCCTCCCCGACCAGGCTCCTATTGAAGATGTGGTAGTGCCCGACCCCGACCAGGTCGTGGCTTTACCCGACCCGCTTGTTCAGCAAGTTGATGAGGTTCCTATTGTTGGTCCCGAACCAGTCCAACCCGAACCAGTCCAACCACCCGATGAAGTAGAGGAAATTTCCTCCTCAAGATCGGGTGAAGCTTCTGTTAATTTATAGAACAATTAATTTAGATTAAGCTTTACGCATTGGGAATGCGAATATTAAATATTTAATAGCACCAACCATATTTTCACCATAAATGATTATTAATTACAATAAAACAGTACAAAATTCAATTTAAAGCTCTAATGTTATTT